TGTTGTAATTCATAAATATAGTGACCATAAAATAAATAATCTGAGCATGATGCAAAACGAGTGTCTACAGACATTAATCTAGTCTTTAAATATTTACCTAGTGTTATTCTAACATCTCTATTTTCAAAAAAAGTATTTTTACCTTTAGGAAACAAATAAGGAAAAGAACACGCCTCGTTTGACTTATCCATTAAAAGTCTAACAGGTTGATTATTTTCACTTGGAGAAACAGAAAATATCTTATCAGAACTATTCAATACTTCAGCAGAAGCATCAACAGATTGTAAACATGTTCCACCTAATGAATCACAAGTATATCTACCTATATTATCATCTATTAATGGTAAATCATCCTCGCTATCACTATTAGACTTATGATCAGATTCTACATTTACTGTTGAATCATAAGATTCTACATTTACAGATATATTATCTTCTATCATTTCATCTTGTTTATCTTGTTCTTCAACCCAACTATCATTTAGAGTAACATCATGATAATAAACATTGTTATCTTTCAAGTAATTTAGTGCATTTTTTATGTGATTTTTTGTAACTGTTTGAAATTCATAATATCCTTTATTAGAAATTTTCTTTTTCAGTTTAATTCGAATCATTTCATCATCATTTTTACATCTTGGTAAAACATTGCTCATTTCAGTCAAATTTGATGGCACAGAAACTATTTCACCTAATAACTTTTTATCATTTTGTGGACAGACTTTAACTAGTTTCAAGAATAGAATATTTTTACATACCAGGTGTTTCTCTAATTGATTTAAGTATTTCAGTTCATTAGGTAATGCACCAGGATCCATGTTATTAACAACAGCCTCAGCCGGCATTTTACCTTGTAGAATCTTTTTATTACATGTTAAACATATCCAAAGAGTTTTATAATTATCAGACAAACAACACTGTCCTAAACATTCATCATCACAAATATGATAGTAAGTTTTAGTTATACATTTCTTTGCTAATCTTTCTACTAGTTTACTTTTCTTTTCATAAAGTTCTTCTTGACACTCTTTAACTTGATTTTTAAACAATAATCTATTACAAACAGAACAAACATAAATAGGACCTTCAGAAGTATCAGTTTTAAATTGATTAATAACTTTATCAATACTACTTATTTCTTTTCTTTTGGCAATTCGTCTTTTATTTCTCATTTTGTTTACTTTGACTCTATATTTAGTATTCTGGTGATATTTATTACTAGATTTCTGTTTTTGTTTATTTCTATACTGTAAATTAGTTCTATACATATTTCTATATTTATTTAAAATCTTAATTCTCAATTCATTCATATACCTTTGCTTCAGTTTTAACTTTATTTCATCTATATATTTACATTTTAATTCCCATTTTAAGACTTTTTGATATTTAACCTTGAGCTTTGGTTTTAAGACTTTTTGATATTTGTTCTTTAGCTTTGGTTTCAAGATTTTTTGATATTTGACCTTCAGCTTTGGTTTTAACATATTTTGATATTTGTCTTCAAGTTTTGGTTTCAATACATTTTGATATTTGTCTTCAAGTTTAGGTTTCAATACATTTTGATATTTGTCTTCAAGTTTAGGTTTCAATACATTTTGATATTTTTCTTCAAGTTTTGGTTTTAATACATTTTGATATTTGTCTTCAAGTTTTGGTTTTAATACATTTTGATATTTGTCTTCAAGTTTTGGTTTTAATACATTTTGATATTTTTCTTCAAGTTTTGGTTTTAATACATTTTGATATTTGTCTTCAAGTTTTGGTTTTAATACATTTTGATATTTGTCTTCAAGTTTTGGTTTTAATACATCTTGATATTTGTGTTCAAGTTTTGGTTTTAGTATTGTTTCATATTGAGTGTGTAGTATAGACCTTAATTGATTTGTATATTTTCTTTTTAAATGAGCTTTAATATAACTAATCTGATATTGTTTTCTCCTCCTTTTATTCAAACTATTAATTTCTTTTTTGGTTCTAAATGCAAGTTTATAGTTTGATCTGACTTTTTGTCCAGAATTTAGTTCCTTCTTTACTAAATTATAGTTTTGAAAATAATTAGTTCGCTTTTTAATAGATCTCCATCTATTACCTCGTTTCTTTTTTGAATGTTTTCTTTTACCTGATAGTTGTGTATCTACATTATCATCAATAACTATAATAGGTTCATTTCTTTTAACATTTTCAACCACTTCATAATGATTTTCATCTTTATGGTGTAAATAAATAGCCTCAGGTGTATAACTATTGTTAATCTGTAATACAGGATATTTCAACCATTTATTATTAGTAAAAATATATATATCTGTTTGTAACAAATCACAAGCTGCCAATATTTCAAATTCTGTACCCCATGTTCCTAGTATTCTCATTCTAGAACATTTAATATAGTCATCAATAGATTGATACTGTTCTCTTAATAAAGATGTGAAAAAATCTGCTTTTGATTTTATATGGTTAACTATAGCAAGTCTTACTTTTCTATGATTATTTTCACATAAAGAAAGAACAAATGATAAACTTCTAAACAAACAATTACCATCTCGTTTGATTTCAGTTATTTTAGAAGGTTTTGTCAGTTTACAAATCTCAGCCACATCAACAAAGTAATCTGCAGGTAAACTTAACAATTCACATAACTTTCTTCTTTTCTCGGATCTAATTGGATTAAAAATAAAATCATTTGATTCTACATTAGTTATAAATACCTCTTCATTATCAATCAATCGACTACTTGATTCAATTGAATCATCAACTTGCATAAAGTCACTATCATTAACAGAATTATTTACTTCATTAATTGGATCATTACTCTCATTACCCATCATAATAACATTAATACCAGTTATTTCATACTGCTCTAACGTATTCAAATTCATTGATACACTTAAATTTAAACAATGTACATATAAATCATTGATATCATTATATTCTAATAGAATACTACTGCCATCCTCTGACAATAATCCTAAATTGTTCCTTGAATGCGAGTCAAACACAAAATAACTATCATCATGTTTCATAATAGCAAAAGTACTTCTATTAAAAGTAACAAAACAAGACTCATATGTTCTTAGACATGTTTGAAAACTTTCGTACAGGCGTAAAGCAACATAATTGTTAGCATCTATAATTCCAACTTCTGGATTATCAGAGATTTCTAAATGAAAAAAATTACCTTCAACTTCAACAGTTCTTATCAATTCACTGACCATAATATAATCATGTTGTATATTAGGCTGAGATTGAAGTAATTTATAGTATTCATTTCCCAGGTCGAGAATTTTGTCTAGAACAGAACTATTCCATAATCTTATGTTCTTTATTTTCCTGTAAATAATACACAAAAGAGAATTCGGTAAACACTGCTTTCCAGCAGAATAAAAATAACGTTGAACAAATCCTTGATGAAAATTACCGAATATGCATATTTTTTCAGGTTTCCTGCTATGGTTACTTGTTGACACCTGTTTACTTTCCTTTTTACAGATACTATTGACAGCATTTTCTACAGGTGTTGTTACCTCTTCATATGAAATTTTTGCCCAAAACTCAGACTCTTCTACTTTTGTTAATTTGTCTTTACTTTGTTTACTGACTTTTGATTTGTCTGAGATCACATTCACTTTTGAAACATGGTCATTACTTAATGCTTTAATTTCTGTTTCATCATCTGAGCTTTTAACAGAATTACTTACTTTTTTCTTCTTCAAATTAGCTAATGAAATAAATTTGGATTTCTTTGAACGACCCATACTGCTAAAATTTTCCACGGATTCTCTCTGAAGTAACAAGATTTCTTTATAATACAGATTTCTGTAGATAATGTAAACTGAATAATACAGTAACAGTCAGATTTTCTGTTAATGTTTCTAAAAGAACTATATTAATGCACTTATACAAATAGTTTCTGAATGGTTAGCGTGACAAAGTTTTTGACAAGGCGTTTCAGAAGTTTTCACAAAGTTTTTGACAAGGCTTTTCACAAGTTTTCATAAAGTTTTTGACAAGGCTTTTCACAAGTTTTCACAAAGTTTTTGACAAGGCTTTTCACAAGTTTTCACAAAGTTTTTGACAAGGCTTTTCACAAGTTTTCATAAAGTTTTTGACAAGGCTTTTCACAAGTTTTGACAAAGTTTTTGACAAAGTTTTTCACAAGTTTTCACAAGATCACTATGTTCAGATAGGGATTGATCAGTTTCCCTAAATATCTGTTTATCTTTCTGGCCTGAAAAAGAAAATTATACATCTGAAAATTTATTACCAAAATCAACACCTAATTTCAGTTATTGGTTAAATAATGTCCAAAAATTACAGAAGATTGATATTATTGATTCATATTCAATGAAATAAATTAGAGTCATATTAGGAATGACTGCATGTAGCATCGTTAATTGTGAAAAAGTTCACAATAAAGAATATAATTTAAGAATGATCTAGTTTCAGTTGTAAGTATTTCCATATGAGCGAGTTTATTATTACGTATGTTACATTTGGAAGATTTTCAGACTTTCAAAATTGTGAATCCAAGAGCAAATATTATTGTTCTAATACCCATTTTAGGACCAAAGTTTAAGCGAAGATAGGTCGTCAATAGAGCAGAGGGTCGAAGGCAAAATTTCATGGGTGCAGGAATAGGGTGAAATCCATGTGTCTTATTGTGCAACGATAAGAACGTTGCCTTTTGTCATTTAATCCAATTCACAATGGATGGACAGAGAATACTTGACTGTGGAATTTTTTAAATCCTGAATAGATTTGGTCCAACTTGGTCTGCTCTTGCAGAAGATATTCAACAATTTTAAAAATAACATTATAATATTAAGAAAGGGTGACACGAAAAGTATGGGGGCCAAGTATATTGTGCTACCAATTAATACTTAATTTGCAAAATGATATCATTTTTCTCTTTTAGTAAAATGTTTTCTCCAAAATACTTTCATTTACAAATAACACACTAAATGAATACAATTTTAATAACTATTTAATTTCACACATACATGTATTTTAAAATGAAACACAATTATTCAAAACAAAATCATTACAGTATATTTCTATATTCAGCAAAAAGTCCTCATCAACTTTCACCTTTTTGGGTTGTTTATTTTTCTTTTCATTATGCATCATTTAGCTTCAAAATTTTATAACACTTACCAAGTATCCTGAAATATATAAAAATACAATTATTTATTAAAATATCCAATGTTTTATTCATTTAAACACACACACATTCATTTGAGGTCTGTTTTTTTTTTCAGCTAAAATTTATCATGCTTTCAAAAACACAGCAATAATCCATAAGAATAAAGAAGTATGCAAAACTATTTGTCTATTTTTCAGTAACTTCATTCTAGGATGATAACACAACACTCAAAATAATTGTAACTTCTACATTTGTACAAGCATTGTACATAATTGGACCATCAAAAACAAACCAGTCTGATAGACATGAGTAACACCAATCATTATAGACCCTAAATGAAATAAAGATCATCAGTATCACAACAGAAAAAACTTACCACAACCAATTATTTCAACACTATTTCTTACACGCACAAAGATTCAGTGTCATTTGTCACGATTATTTTTATCAAACAGAATGGATCAATAATATGGAAACAATCGCAATTCATCGATTCATCAGTGAATCATTGCAGCCCTAATTCAAGCCAATAATTTCATTAAATATTCTTGTTTTTGTGTTTATATTACAGAAGATTGCCAATTCCAACACTAATCAATATCTTTCTACTTTTTTTACTCTTTTATAAATTAAAATTCACAAGCAAATTCAAAATCTAAACCATAAGCAGTTTTTGCTGAATAATTTCTATTTCCATTTTTTTTTTTTTTTTTGCAAACCAGAAAAAATGACTTTTTAATCTTAGAGAAGCAAATGATGCTATATGATATTCTTAAATAAATGCATAATTGTACATCTAATTGCTAAAAATATATTGTTGCCTTGGCAATCAAACCTAATTTGGAAAAAATCACACTTACTTAATCTAACTGTAACAACTGATCAAACCTGAAATAACATAAAATAATCCATGACCAATTTTACAAATTTATAAATAGAAAGCGTACATTTACCTTAATACCCCCTAATGCAGTCTGATCAACCTTGCTGCATCAGCAAACATTCAACAACATATAACTACAGCACAATTCGTATTTCAATACACCCATGTGTAACAAAATGAAAAGTAACAATTTAGCTCAGTACTTTTGCAACACATTATTAAATTTCATTCAATTTGAAAAAAAAAAAAACAATAGGGATAATACTGGGACTTTAAAACATCTAGACCAGACCATTTAGTCTCTCCATTCAAATGACAGATGCACTGACACACGGATGTTTCATTTTAGACTAACACCATCTTGTTTACTTTCTTATGTTCAATATTGCTACCTGTTCAAATATTTACAAATGTACAATAGGAGCATTAAATTTCACTTTATTTCATTATCTGTTGTTGATCACCAATGCATCCATAAATAATCCATAAATATTGCTGAACCCAAAGTCTTCAAACATATTTAATGCCAAATGAAATCCATTGTACAAAATCCATATAAAACTTGTATTAATTCGATCATAAAGCAAAACCTTTTACCACAAGTAGTTTTCCCTGAATAATTTTTCTAATGACAAAACAATAATACTAAATGTCCAGTGACAAACCCGAAAACACGTATTTTATACACTCTACACAGAAGAACAAAATAAAGGGGGATAATTCAAATGGACCTAATGAAGATGAAAATCATTAACAAAATGCGGCAGTATTTATTTTACATCTATTTGTAACCGGTACCTATAATGATGCCAGTGGATAACAAATAATTTTACTATAAATCTGACTTACAAAATCAATCTGCAAAAACAAATATCACACCCTGAAAAAAAAAATGATAAACCATGATTAACATTTACACAAACCGAAAACATGAATTATTACAACAAAATGGTACATTTTGTCTTCAAGTCAAAGCGCCCAGTTAAGGTTGTCACAACGACCAATACATACTACATGCAACCTTTGTGCCGTCAACCTTTGACATTTTTGTTGAAGCAAAGAAGGAGCATTTTAGACAAAATCACCCCCCATTTTTCGACTTCAAACTGCCATAACTTTTTGCCTAATTGAGATATTCTAAATCTGTAAACTGCATTTTAACCTTCGAAAATAGCTGTGTCTTTTGAGCTTATTTGTTCTAGCTTAAAAACAACAAATGGACTGAACACACTACTAATAAGAGGTTTCAAATTCATGAGCACCTGACATGTGACAATTCAAATGTAATTTATCTAATTTCATGTAGGAATTGTCCACAACAATATGCTAGTGAAACTAAAAATATATACTCGTTTTCAGACATCAGACAAAGAGTCAAACCTGTTGGAAATCACTTTGAGTTTGACTATGCATCAAACATCCAGCCAAATTCCTTTATTTTCATGGATATTAGCAATAATAATCACAAAAAGTAAATTCTTACCTCAAACTCCTAACAAATATGTTACAAAAATAGCACAGCCAAACACAAACTCTACAGTAAAAGTGTATCCAAAACGTAAATTCCAATTTCTTTCAACCAGAAACACGCTTTCGGAATACAACAAAAACGATTAAGGCACGCTTCCGGTTATAAAATATCTCTCGATTATCCAGACTCGCCTACGATAACTCGACCTGGTAGAAACTTGGACAGATCGTACTACTTGAAATATTATTATAAATAGTGAAATATTCAATAATTTTATACGATAATATGTCCGTATTTTGTTTCTTATAATGTGGCACTACTAACCGTAACTGGGGTAATACATAAATAAGCAGCACGATATTCTAAGTACTTGAAGGTCAAGGTTATAGGCTATTTTCCCGCCATTACTGACATACGTGAAAAAAAAAACAGTATACGGATACGAGGATTGAATATTTTGTAAGTTTTATGTTTCTATTTTTCCAGTTTTTTTAGCCCCCGTCACAGCATCAGACAATTTGACTGCATGACAAGATAGTTACACGTTTATTGACAGAATATTTGCCCTTTTTTTCATTTTGTCTCTCAAGCCAAGTAAGAAGCCCAAAGCCAAATTGAAATAACATCTGCGATTTACCAGCAGATTTATAATATTAATTTAGTATGAAAACTTTGAAAAAACTGGTGGATGCGGGATGGGGGTCCATGCACCCTGATGGACTTCTGCTTGTTTCTTTTTATGAACTTTGTGGTTTGCACTTGTGAATTTATTTAAGCATTTTTTTTCTTTAATATGCAGATTATCAACATGGCAGAAAAAAGAAAGAATACCGATAAGAGAGACTTTTGCCAAGAAGCAGAAGGCTATTTGCATGATGTGGAAGAAGTTAAACAATCTACAAAAAATCAGTCCAAATATTTCTGCTGCAAATTTCAAAAAGAATCAAGTGTTCACAAAGTGGTGTGCTTCTCCCCTAATAAGTTTGCCGATTTTCAAAATGCGGAAAAATTATGTAGTCCAGTGAAATTATCTCAAATCAAGTAAGTAGCCTAGCCTTTTCCAATTTGCCCTATTGAAAATAAGCGAAATCTGATAAAATTAACCAGAAATATGGCCCTCCTCAAAAACGTGTTCAATTTTTAGCTTAAGAACACTGTAGATGCCACAATTTTTTACTGATTTTAATAAAACTTGGTAGGTTTGTGTGTTATGATATAAGGATAAAGCCTATTTATATCCATTATAGTTGTGATTTACCATCATGTTCACCAAATTACAGTTTTTTGGACTATTTCTGTTTAAATGTGCCTATAATGTGAATTATGGCAATTGTTTTAAAAAAATAAACATTCAATTTTTAGGTTATAAACAGTCAATTCTTCATTTTCTTTGAAACTTGGTGGTATTGTGTATTATGGCACTGGGAGGAACCCTATTTTAAAAATATTTCTTAATCCCCAAATAAAGCTGCTGTTAGGCGTATGTTATCTTTGATTTCGAAACCTATTGAGATCAAAACTCAGAAAACTCAAAGTTGTTGCACTTGATTTTAAAATTTGAAATAAATTGAACGTAGTTAGTGGGCATATGCTACTTAGTCATTCTAATTTTTGTGGTACCTCTATATTTTATAGATATTCCCCTGGAAAAAGAAATATTGACATACTTGTCAATCAAAATTCAGACATAACAATTGTTCCAACAAAACTTCCTTTCAAGAGAAGGCTTTTGACAAAGACAACTGATGTTGCAGAAGCTATCTCAATTACCAAAATACTTGAAGACCCTAACGTTAACATGCATGCAACTGTAAGTATATAATCATCAATCTAATTAATGTCAACTATCAAGGCAGGATTTGGAGATGTTTCAATTTGTGACAGGTATTTGCACTTACTCAAAGGAAAATTGGTTGGTTTATTATTGGCACTTTAACGTCCGCTTCCAGCCCTGCAATATGTCAATGAGCTATTTATAGGTACCGTACTACAGGCAATTGTGCAGTTTATGTGTTTACTTTTGGCACTCCCCATGTCAGTCCGTCCATCAACAATTCGATGTGAAACAAATTAAACAATTCTTTAATACTTTCATAAAACTGGGTGTTGTCACAAGGAACCTTATTTAAGATCAGCAAAATGAGAAATGTTCAATGTGAATTATTTGGAAAATATTGAACATGGGTTATTGCCCTTTTTTTGAAAGAGGTGTTAAATCTTCAGCTTTTGAAAACTTTAAAAGTAAATTCATTATTGATTTTAATTATGACACAAGACTAAATCATTGAAAATCATATATAATACACAGAATAGTGGGTAATTCCAACTGTTTTGTACAACAACCTTTCTTGATCACGTAAATCAACAAAAAAAACTGCTGGTGGGTGTACATGTTACCTTGCCTGGCTAACTATCTTTTTAAATCTTATCTTCAAAGAAAGCTTCTGGTGGTTGCCAGGCAACCTAATTTCTCACTTTGTTATAGTACGTTGTAAGAAAGTCATCCCATGCTTTATAGTTATATCTTACAGTATAATATTAAGGCGAATGTCCTTCAGTTGCAAGATGAATCAACTGTTGTAATCTATGGAGCGAAGAAAAGAACAAAAGAAATAATTGTTCATGATGGAACTGCACACATTTGTATTTCTTTATTTGAACACTTAATTGATGAAGTTGACGTTAACAAAAGTTATGAATTCTTAAATGTGGGTATTAGAAATTACTTAGATAAAAAATCAATAACAACAAAACTTAATACTTGTATTGCTGAACTGACTGAACCAATAGAAGTTCCAAAAGAATTTAAACTAAATTTGAATAACATGCGTGAAGGAACTGTTAATTCAGCGTCTATTCAAAGTGACATTATATGTCCTAACTGCAAAAGAAGAGATCCCAATTTTGACCATGTCATGGATGATCCAACAGTTAAAGTAATAAAATGTTCTAACAAATTATGTCTGATGACCTCAAGAAAAAAAAGTTTTAAACATGTTGTCAACGGGTCATTGGTATTGGAATTTAATGACACTATTGGTACATATTCTCTAAACAATGACGTGGCTACATGTTTTGTCGAAGAAATAAACCAACCCAATTTAATTGCAGATAGTTCTGCTTTTGAAAATTATTTACTGGATGATAAAAATCGATTTTTGTTTAGCATGAATGCCAGACACATTACCAAAATACAACTAAATAAGTCATAATGTTTTCAATGTGCTGAATGTATATTGATTCTCTTAATTGAAGCATTTGTTTTTTCACAGTAAAAGCTTTAAGTAGATGTTTATCATCGATATTGATATAAATGATTGAAAAATGTCTCAACTCAATCAGGTTTTTTTAAGTTCTTTTCTTCACATTCATGCATGTTATTCAAACTGGTGTCAGTGGAATGGTTTGTGCCTATTTGTGCCTATGTACATAGTTATAATTGAAGCATTTGTATTTAAGGGTAAAAGCTCCCATCAATTTATTATAATGCAGTGCCATAATGTGAACATATAAAAACACTCATTAATATTTGGATGTTTTCCTTATTGTTTCTTATTTGTATTGTTAATGAAACCAATGAAACTGTAAATCCGTAAAGTTTATTAAATATTTGTCATTGCTCGTTAATATTTGGATGTTTTCCTTATTGTTTCTTATTTATATTGTTAATGAAACCAATGAAGCTGTAAACTCAGTAAAGTTTATTAGATATTGGTCATTGCTCGTTAATATTTGGATGTTTCCCTTATTGTTTCTTATTTATATTGTTAATGAAACCAATGAAGCTGTAAACTCAGTAAAGTTTATTAGATATTGGTCATTGCTCGTTAATATTTGGATGTTTCCCTTATTGTTTCTTATTTATATTGTTAATGAAACCAATGAAGCTGTAAACTCAGTAAAGTTTATTAGATATTGGTCATTGCTTGTTAATATTTGGATGTTTTCCTTATTGTTTCTTATTTATATTGTTAATGAAACCAATGAAGCTGTAAACTCAGTAAAGTTTATTAGATATTGGTCATTGCTTGTTAATATTTGGATGTTTTCCTTATTGTTTCTTATTTGTATTATTAATGAAACCAATGAAACTGTAAATCCGTAAAGTTTATTAAATATTTGTCATTGCTCGTTAATATTTGGATGTTTTCCTTATTGTTTCTTATTGTGGGACTTTGCTTTCAGCAAAGTTTGTTATCGAAATGTCAATTCTTTTTGTGGGACTTTGCTTTCAGCAATAGGGTCAAAGGTCATTGACCTTGGCTATCATTTGATACTTTGACCTTTGACCTCCGACATGTACTTCCGGTTTTATAGCTATCCGTAAAAAGCCAAATTCGCAACTTTGGACTGCTCTAGCACGTGACCTAATTAACCTAGAGGGTTAATTTTTTCGGTTTTCTAATGTGCTTCTCATGCCCTTAACATAGATATATACCAATCGTTCTATTAAAGCAAAATTGAAATTCGTGATTTTTCAAATTTGAGGTTTTTTTTACAATATTTGCGTCTTTTTGAGCTTGGTGTATGTATATCTTATGATCTATTTAAAGTAGAACCTTGATATTTGGAATACAACTAGACACTTTGAATATGAATTCACCTATGACAAAAAAACTTATGTGGGCGTGGCACATCCGGGATAAATTACTAATTGTTTACATTTTGGGGCTGGGGCATAACTCGCATAGGATGCGTTTGTTCAAAAAGAGACTTTGCACACAATTACCTCATTCTTTTGGCCAGTTTGTGTTAACAGCTCAGTTGTTTCAGCTTTATAGTTTCAAAAAAGGAACGGGTTTTAACATTTGGATATTTTCATTTTTCGATTTTGACCTTTGTTGACTTTTGTTGACCTATATCTTTTGACCTCTATTATGTAGGAACTTGACATTTGGAACATAAGGTAACATTTTGAATATTAATTAACGTATTCAAAAAAAATTGAGGTGGGCGTGGCACTTCCGGGTTAAATTTCTCATTATTGACA